TTAGCCATAATAAAAAGCCAGCTGGGTGACTCTGGGCCAATCACCAGGAGATTGGGAGTTCTAGTCCCACCTAAAAATTATGATGACTGAAGGGTTTTTTTCAGTCTCCTGTTATTTCCATGGCAAAAAGCAAAAACAAAAAACCATGAGCCAGTGTCATGTCTATATTTTTTTCCTTTCCGTCTTTCCTAGGTACCATTTGCCAGCAGTCCTTCTGTCATCTCTACTGGGGATGTGCCCGTGTGTCCTGCTTGGGCTGTTTAGCCCCATTCTGCGGTATGATTTTATTTGCAATTGTTTCCCCTTGCAAAAAAACAAACTCTGTTGTAATTTATTGGCACTTCTGATATTCTTCTGTTCCTCGGGCCTCCAGCCTGCCTTCTGCAGGAGGCAGTTGGCTTCCATGAGTAAGTCTTTTCTGTAAATAAAGCTAGCTAAATGAAATAATAAACAGAATCCCTTTTCCTTAATCAATCAATCTCCCTCTCTCTCTCTCTCTCTCTGTCTGTCTGTCTCTCTGTCTCTGTCTCTCTCTCTCTCACCCCTAACAACTGTTCTGTTAAGATACAGCCTGTTGTGCCTTAAAATGGCTTCTACCGTACTGCCGTAAAATGAATTCTACTGTACAGCACAAAGGAGTTGCCATGGTAACGGCTTCACAGTACTCCACAAAGGGGCTCCCTCTGATAAGGGGGAAAATCCAACATTAGACATTACGTTTGGTCCGGATATATTCCCCCTATAAACAAACACCTGGGCAGCGCCAAGGTATCAGCTAGTCTAGGCTAATATTCCGCTGGCATCTGCTGCAGCTCGATTCTAAGAGATCCTGCCTAATCCAGTAAACACCTTGCAGCCTCTCCAGGGCACTAATAATGTTCTTTCTTTTCTTTTCTTTTCTTAAAACAGAACTCAATCTTGGTGACAAATGTTTAGACGGCGTTCTTAATGGCAATAATTACGAATCAGATATTCTAAAGGTACGGACAGTTTGCAAAAGGTTGAGGGTTTGTTATTGTTGTTTTTTTGATGGGGTGGGTGTTTGTTTTTAGAAGCATTTTGCAAGAACGTCTGGCCTGCGCGGTAGCTCAATGGCTAAGGCGCTGAGCTTGTCGATCAGAAAGGTCGGCAGTTCAAATCCCTAGCACTGGGTAAAAGAGTGAGCTCCCGTGACTTGTCCCAGCTTCTGCCAACCTAGCAGTTTGAAAGCATGTAAAAATGCATGTAGAAAAACAGGGACCATCTTTGGTGGGAAGGGAACAGCATTCTGTGCGCCTTCGGTGTTTAGACATGCTGGCCACATGACCACAGAGACGTGTTCGGACAGCGCTGGCTCTTCGGCTTTGAAATAGAGATGAGCACCGCCCCCTAGAGTCAGGAACGACTAGCACATAATGTGTGAGGGAAACCTTCACCTTTACCTAAGAGCATCTGATCTCCACTCTGGTGTTTTTGTCATTTTCATTCTCGCACTTTCCCAAAGAGTTTCAAATCTCCGCTTGAAGTTCTCCTGGAGTTTTTTCATTTCACCTGTCTTCCATTCTAGGATTACTTGCAGTCTAGGGGGTTGACATGGAAAGACATGCTGAACGAAAGCCTCTTAGCTCTTCAAAAAGGAACTTTTATTTTACCAGGTAAATCTTCATTCCCCTCCGGCCACTTATTCCTGAGACATTTTTCTGGATTCTGCTTCTTTATTTAGTCCAAGTGTTAATGCCACTTTGCAAGACTTATTGCATTTTGCATCCAGTTTTGCTCGCCACGATATACGGTAGTGGCCAAAATTGTGGAAACCTTTTGGGAAAAGTGTATTTTTGAGGTTTGATGGCTAATAAAACCACTTTTTCTTTGGAGTTGTACCATAAAATTATAATGGAAAGAAAATTTAATCAAGAATGCAATGCAGCACAGTTTGTTCAATGATCTGTATTCTATGAAAAATTATAGCCAAATATAGCCAGCGATAAAACGCAGTTAAGAGAAGCAATCATTCAATCTTGGTTTCACATTATAACAGCTGCAGAACTAAAAGATTTGGTCCACTCTATGGTAGGACATTATAAGGCCATAATTTATGCTAAAAGTTACCCAACTAAGTACTAACTGATGTGATCATTTTTGTATTTCTCATTTATCCCATGCAGATAATTTTTGTATATCTCTTTTTTTTTTCTATGTTTCACTTTTCTTCTTTATAACTGCTGTTCTAATAGCAAATCCTTCATAAAAGTTATTGCATTGCATTCTTGATTCAATTATCTTTCCATGGATAAATGAGAAATA